TCAGACAATTATATCCGCCGCGTACCGAATATAGAAAAAAAAAAAAAAACGAAAAACGAAAAAACGAAAACCGCAACGCGGATTCGAACAAACCGGAAATCTCTAACGCGCAATTGTCGCCGGGCCGCGGCGCGCGCGTGTGATGACAACACGCGCCGTAGACAGCGAGACGTTATTTGTTTGACGAATTCGACGCGCGCGGACGGCGGCGGCGGCGGCGGTCGCAGTCTCGCGCGCGATATTCGCGTGACAATAGTACACGGCGACACGGCGCGGATACGGTACGCAACGGCGACAACAATATCGCGGTACAGATCGATTATTTTCTTATTTTCTCGAACACAACGCGGTCCCGGAGTCCCGGGAGTGCGCGCGGTACAGCCGGTTACGCCGCTGCTGCCGCTACAACGGCGGTGGCCGTGTAGCTGTTGTCGATTCGATTTTCTTTTCTTTTTTTTTCCCGTTGGTTTTTCGGTCTTATTATTACCCCCGGATACTACGCAATAAAATAATATTATTATGTATGCGACGCGCGAGACTCCGGCGCGCCGTACGAGATAGCCGCGTCGCAACCAGTGCACCACTATCGCCGCCGCCATTACCACTACCACTGCTACCACTGCTGCTACTGCTACCGCTGCTGCTGCTACTGCTGCTGCTGCTGCTACTGCTACTACTGCTGCTGCTGCTATTACTACTACAAAGCGAACGAATACGGAGAGAGAATTACAGAGTACACAATTCCGGAGCGAATGAATGAACGTCGGCGGCGGCCGTGACGGTAGAGAGAGAGAGAGAGCGGGAGAGAGAGAGAGTGAGAGAGAGTGAGAGAGAGCGAGAGTAAACGCGAACGTTACGACGACGACGTCCGGACAAAAGGCGGGATTAATATTATTTCGTAGGTAATAAGACGTGTACGTAATAAATGATGGCGAAAAAAAAAAAAAATAAAAAACGAATTACAGTCGATTTCGGGTGTGCAACACCTGTATAATATACGGGGTGTTCCGGTGTTGTGACGCGACCGTATACTCTCGCGCCATTTTCGTCGCCGGCAACCCCTCTATCCGGTCTCTCTGTACCGAAAATTGTTTGGCCGCCCGTGCCGTACGCGAACTCAGTAGCCGGTGGAAAATGAACGTCGAATTTTCCGCCGGTCGCGGCCGGGCACACTATCGAATGCGTTTCACATCCGTACGCGTACGGAAACCTCGCGTTTTCCTTATGAGAAAAACAACCCCCCGACCGACAGACTAATGCGGACGACAACATCCGCGCGGTTTCGGACTTTGGCCGAAACGTCTGAAACCTTTAACCGATAATTGTCAAAACCAATAACGTTCAAATCGCCATCGCACTAACACTGTGCGACTGCATTTTTTTTCCCGCGCGGACGTTTCGGTCGAACACCGCCGCCGGGGTTTCCGACAAAATCACGCTGCAGATATCCAGAATCTCCAGGAATTAGCATTATTTGTCGAGCTCAACAGAATTGGACGTGATCGGCGGAATTGTCCGAGATGAAAAACTGTCTCGTCTAACTCAATCCATCCGTATCGATAAATGTTAGGTGTAATTCCGTTCGAAAATTTAAATAAAACGCGTAATTAAAAATACAAAGCGATTTCATAATTTTCCGTGAATTTCCAATTCGACGCGTCCCCCGATACGGGTTCCGTATCGGCGTATACGTTTGCGTAAACGTTTCCGTGCGCTCTATAAATATTAATCAGTGTTTCTTTCAGGGACATGTGTATGGGGTGAGTGGGGGAGGGGGCTGCGCCCTGATTGTGTTGATGTAGCGCATCGCGCTCGTATATATCACACACGTTATATTTTTTTTTTTCGAATCCCGATAAAAGATTTCCGTATTTTAATCATCATCATCGTCTTTGCGCAACACTGTTTGTGGGGTCGGTTTTTAGCGATCGGGCGTCGAATACGACAAATCACGCGCGTACGGCGTTTTCACCGGAACTAACGATTATCATCACATTTTGTTTCGTTTTTTAGATTCGGTATTCGGCCGACGACAGCGTCGAATTGTAAATCCGTACGGTCCCCGCCGTCCGTGACCAGAGAGGCTATTAGCCCGAATGCCCCGCGCAACGGTGACCGCGCCGAAAACGGTCCGCACGCCACGCGCAATAATATATTATAACTGGAGTATCGTCGTCGTCGGTCGTTCCGAATTATTATAGTCTGCCGTCGTCGTTTAAGAAAAAAAAAAAAACAACAACAACAACAATAATAAACGGAAAACACTCGACAAAATAACTGCGTGTGTCGAGAACGTGCGTTCCATTGTAATAATATTTCCGATTCGGTCTCCGCGCTATTTCTCTCTATCACTTCCTCTCTCTCTCTCTCTCTCTCTCTCTCACTCTCTGGTTCTCGAACGTGGTTCGGTTTCTTAAATTTGTCGTCGTCACAGCCGCCGTTGCATCAAATCAATTAGAAAAAACGAAATAAAAAAAAAAAATAATAATAATAATAAATTAATAAATCTTCGCGGTACTCGGCGTATATTAAGTAAAACGATACAAAACAATCATTATTATTGCGGCACGCGCGCGCAAGTATAATACAGCGCGTCTTTCGGAGTCGCCGACGGACGTTTCTCGGTAGTCCGGCCACTCGGACGATTTTTATCCATATTTTTTTTTCTTTTTTTTTTTTTTTTCTCGTCGAATGCAGTATTTTTATTCTCCGCACAGTTCTGTGTAGATACGAGTTATTCATTTAATATCGCCGCCGTCGTCCGCGAACACAATAATAATACCTGTACACAATAAACGGCGCCGAATCGAGATTACGAGATTCGTATGCGCGTCGCCGACATCGAATTCCCGTGTCAAGGTATACGGTGGGAAGGGGTGGGTGGGGGGTTAGTGTGTGGGGGGGGATGGCGACCCGATAAATCGTCGCGTTTATTGATAAATAACAAATACTCGAGCGCGTGCCCCGCTGCGGGACGTCGTGATCGCCATAATATTTTAATCACGGCCGAAATGCCGACGAATTTCTAGTACAGCTCCGGAATTAGAAATTCGTCGGCATTTCGGGATCATAACCGTTTTCGACCGAAATCGCACCCCACCTTATTGGACTTTTCGGCCGAATTCGAGAATGGTCAATTCGTTTTTCGACCGAAATTCGTACCTTTCCGCCCAATCCGAAAATGTGGAGGCGAGAAGGACAATCTATATCATCAAATAATCGATCATTCACAATTATAACAATCAATCTATGATTAAGAATAAAAATATATAAAATTGTCTATTTTCTGAAGAAAAAAAACTTTATTAATTTGTTTTCACAAACCTTCGGTTTTCGCTAAACGGTGAATTTATTTTTTGTTCGGGCGCAAAAAATGATACCATTAAAAATATCAAATAATTATTCGAACATGCAGTGAACCAGGCTCGCTAACAAAAAATAAACAACTGCCGAGACCTGACAAAATATTATTATTACTTATTTTCTGGTGTAACAGAAAAATAAATGTATATGTCATGTACAAATGTACATGATAAAATATAATAATATTTTTAAATTCTGAGTGGAGCGAATTACAACTAATTGTATAACCAAAGACCTTGCTTCGATTTTTATGTGTAGCACTTTTTCCGAAAGAAATTGGGTTGGGGAGGTATTTTTTCGATTCTCAATAGTTTTCTCTTCAAATGGGAAAAACCGGAATCCATTTTAATTTTGGAATTGCAGGAATAATTGGAATTTTACCATATGACATACATATATTGTTGACAAAGCAGCACTATCGATTGAACTCTGTTCAGAATCGTTTTTCGCTAGCTTATCGTTAATGGCTTATCGTTGCTTAAAGGTGTACATTAAATTACTTACAACAGTGGCTGCACCCGACACCATTATCTTAGGACATCTTTTTTTTTTTTTATAATATATACCTATTAAATAATATATAGATACACATTTATAAATCTTAAACTATAAGTAGGTATATGACATGTTAACGTAAACATATTGTTAATAAAACATTTTTATATGTATAAATTAAACGTTCAGTTTTGATATTTTTTACTTTTTTAATATATATGATACAAGTAACTGTTGTGATTGGTTCGGCCGAAAAGGGAATTGAATTTTTTCTAAATTTAGTCGAAAAGGGAAGGGTTCAATTTTGGCCGCCGCCCTATAGTATGTACAGTCCGAGTGTGGATAATAATGGTAAAGGAAAAAATGGCGATGAAATAAATGAGCAGAATATATAATGGCCAGAGAAAACGTTTTCGACATTTTCTGCGCAGCCATATTCGCGGGACGAGTTCATTAGATGATACTTTAATTTGGGGCCGGAACCTTCATGATTTTACAAGTTTCGGTTATTGTTTGGTTCTTAATGAAATTAAGTTCCGAACATTTTGGTTCCGGTTGTCGGTGGTATATCTACAGAAATTTTTTTTTTTAATCATAAACCGGCAATTATCTCGGAGGACTTTAAGTGAATTTGATTTCTGTTTTTTTTTTTTTAACCATTGTCGAATCGTTGAAAATTTATTTTAAAACCATTTTTAATTTTTCACCCATACTCCGTACACCTTGAATAAGTATATAATATTGTTTTTCAAATAGCAACCTCCTTTTTTGAACACAGATTCGAAAAGAGTATATTTTTTCAGAATTTTTGACATGCATAACACTAATGACAGATTTATTGTTTATGGAGTATAATTACCGTTTAAAATTTAGACCGGCGAAGTGTGAAATAGTTATCAATTTACCATTTAAAAATATATGTATTTTTTATGAACCTTCTCTACTCCTCCAGTCTCAACTTTAAAAGGTAAATCTAATATTAATGTTTTATATAAATATCTGGAAAAACATTTCTTTATTCGAATTTTTGTTCAAAAAAAGTGGTTCCTACTTGAAACAAGAAAGTATTTACTTATATCTAAGGTATACGGAGTAGAGGTAAAAATTAAAAATAGTTTTAAAATAAAACTTAACCGATTCCACAATGATTAAAACAAAACGGAAATCAAATTCATTTAAAATCCTCCGAGAAAATTACTGGTTCGTGATAAAAAAAAAAAAATCATCCTGTACTGCCCCCATTATTGTATCGATCACCGTATAGTTTCACTAAAACACGCGTTAGTTTTTCCAACTTGGAATACGATTTTTACATAATATAGGCCATTGAAAATATTCAAGAAATAACGGACTTTCGTACTATTTTCAGAAAACATTAGAACAAATAATGTTAATATAGATTTAGCGGTTTTTGGCCAAATCTATAACGAATGAGTACGCAGAGATGTGGAATTTTGAAGCGTACAGTCGAACAGACGGGTCAACGAAAACATCTGGAAAACAGATTTTTCATTTTCAATTTCTACACGAGTGCTTGCGAGTAACAAAAGTGATGGAAAATTCAATTATACCGAGAAAAAGTCAAGTCATTAGTCAAGTACTCGTATTGTTAATTTTTCGTTTGGATTAACTTACTGTAACTATATAGCTGTAATCGAATTTCAACAAATAAACACAAATTTACTAGCTAACTGTTATGGAAGGTTTGAGTTTATTTTTGTTAATGCTGAACTGTTATATACGAGTAGACAAAAATAACAACAAATAAGTCAATTTAAAAAGTACTCTTGACTGTACAGGATGATCAATTTATCCATAATTTGGCGAATTTTTTCGATGATTTTAAGCGAATTCGAATTTCTGTTATTTTTTTCAATCATTATGGAACCGTTTAACCTTTAACTGGAGACAATTTTCAAATTTCAACCCTTCTCCCTCCGTCGAATTTAAACACAGATTTGAACCGGGTGCATTTTCCTATAAAAGTTAGACGGGATTTAACCGGAGAAGTAGCTAGGGACTAACTGCATATCCATTTTTAGGTGAAAATCCGTCCCTATTTCACCGTTCTTAAATGTTAAAATATAGTATGATCGACGAAAAATAAATGAATCGGCGGATGGGTGACTACCGCGCCGCCACCGTGAAAACTTTAAAGTAAATATTTTATGGTTATACCAATTAAATAATATCGGTGTTAACGAACTCGCGTGTGCCAAACACAATAATAACGTAATAATAGAGCGCTTATTAAAATGAAAAATGCGGAATAACTTAACGTTAACGCGATCGTTCATCATTTTAGAATAATATTTCGTGCAAACCGTCACGGATATAATATTATATAATAATGTATAGTTATCAAAAAAAAAAAAAAAAAAAAAAAAACACCCGTTTATTCGGTATGTGACGTTTTGTATAGGTCAAAAATGTCATAATAATACCTATATAATGTATATTATATACCGCGAAAGTATAGTTAAAAGAAATGTCATGTCAAATAGGTCAGTCACGTGAGTTATTGTCGTATTTACGTACGTGTATAAGTATATACATATATATTGCAATGGCACGCATTAAAAAAATATTAAATATTAAAAATGAGCGGATGTAAAACGTCTAAACAAAAATATATGTGTGTGTATATATATATATATATTACGGTAAACGTAGGAAATCTGAGTAATTGTATCCACAATGTCCGGAAATTTTTGACAATACGAAAATCAATTAAAGTGTTTCAATTTTTTGTACATCGTACGGTTTCATGTGAGTTTCATGCACTTTGAATCGAATGAATATATTTTCGAAATATATATGTGTTTAATAAGAAAATTAGTAGTAATATTTGTTTAATATTATACCTAATTCCCCGTTTATTTCTAGGTTTTTGCTGTTGTTCCATGTTTTTTCTCGGTTTTTCAGAGTTGCTGGGATAACTCTTGGGAAAATCGAAAAATTACATTCTTTAAGTAAATACCTAGCCAGATTTCCATTCAGAAAATGTGCTATCATTATTATAAATTGCTAATAAAACCTACATTTCTTATATTTTTCTATTTTCTTTTTAGGTTTTTCAAATTTGATGAGAAAATTGAAAAATTACCTCTTTAAAGTACCTCTACATGCCGATTTTCTTCCAGAAAAAGTATTACACGTAAAAAACCGAGCAAGTCCTCTGGTAAAAAAAACAATAAACATCTTTGTAAAACTATAAGCTTTTATAAGCTAATTTTTAAATAAGCGAGACGAAAATTACAAACAATTATTGTACGTTCAGCTTGTACATTGTAGAGTGAGGGGTAGATGACAAAAATATAAACGAAAGAATGCAAGCCGCGATGACTTTTTTTCTTTTCAATTTTTTTATTATAATATATTGTAATATTTATTATTTGGAATTTTCACGATTATTTTTTCCTATTTAATGACGATATTCCAAATAAATAATATAATACAACTAATTATATGAATAATATCATTTTATTTTATTATTATTCGGACATTTTTTCGCCAGACATTTTATCTTCGGACATTTTAGTAGAACACCTCGTGGGGCATACTATATACACTGTATACAATATAATATTGTACATTGCAAATTCGATAACGGTACGGTTCTACAAACCTTTTCAACGTTTAGTGTCTACCCAGGTTTATATAAAAAAAAATATAAAAATGATAATTATTATGTATAGATATACATTGTGTATTATATTGTAATTATCAAATAATTATTATTATACTGTGAACGTTTTTCGTTGCACTTGGAACGAATCGGCCGACTTTGTCCGCGTTGTATTTATCTCGGGACCGCGTAAATGAATACGAGTGAATTATATTTTTTATGCACCGAAGAATTCGAAACATTCAAATATCTTCCGTAAATATTCCGTACAATCTATAAACTATTCCAATAAAGTTATTATAATTATATCAATAATGGTATCGTATCGTATTTAGGCATGGCAGATACCGTGGTAAGTATATTATATTATAAATAACGATTAGCAAATGACTTTTTTTTTTAATAAATGTTTTTCACAATTTCGAATTTTATTTACATAATATTATTATAACTCAATTTACCACACGCATTATGATTTATATTAGAAATCTCAAACGGAACGAATCCATCGTCCATCATTTGAATTCGTCTAATTATAACGCGATGTACCATAAAGCGGTCACGCTACCGATGAAGAACGGAAGAAAATTGAGCTGCATCGCGAACGTGATCCACACCAGAGTAAGACGAATAGCGAATATAATAGAACACATTGAATAACAATATATTCTAGTGCAATCAATATCCGTAATAATATTGTGTATATTATTTCCGGTTTAGGCTTTCGCTCGTCCAAATTTCACGAAATTGTGTGCCAGTATCGTCAAAGATGGATTCGTCGGATCAGCGCCGGCGTTTCGGTCGGTTTTGCTGCAAAAATGTTACGATGTATACAAAGGATTATGCGAAACACCCGCAGTGATAGTGGTTTTTCTTAAAAATGCACAATAAATGAGAATACTTTGGGTTTGTTTTTGTCGATTTTCGGTAAAAAAAAAAAAAAAAAAAAAAGAAAAATACTACTTTCATATCTCATCAGTTTACCGAGCTTTGCTCGGAATTGGTTATCAAATGAAAATATCTAGTATTGATTTTGTACATAACCTGAATTACGGTTTATACCTCCTAAAATCTCGGTCCATTATTGTATATAGCCTACTCACTGTGCGAAGTTAATTGCTGGCTTTTTTAATTTGGGTTTTCACCGGCAAGAGGGTCCTCTTTTTAAAAGAGATTAACGAGTTTATAATTTCTATGAGAAAGACCGCATGCCGTCCTCGAACCTTCACGGTCAAGCCGATAATTTCGCGAACAATTATGAGTGCTTGGCGAATATTAAAATACATGGCAAATATTTTTTATTTTATTTTATATTTTTTACGTGTTTTGTAAAAGTTTAAACTTTTTTAAAATTTCGTCGGTGAATTATACAACCCGGGTGCGTACATTGAGGAGACTATATGGTCGTGTGTAAATGGACTGATGAGAGTATATGACGGAAATTTACACATCGAATGTCTGTGCACCATTTTAAAGTCGATTTCACCGAAATTATCTCAAGTAAATTACTCTGTACAATATTTATTATGATAATATATTGTGGATGCTTAATAATTACCTGTATCTAACGTCCACAGACGTACTGTATGACAAGAGTAGTTGGTCATTTGCTGCTGTTGGAAACCGATACGTCCACAGCCAATACGATGCCATCAACATCAAAAACATTAATGCCCGAAATAAAAGATACGAATTTAATCCTGACTGGATTCACGAAAGTATGAGTATTGTCAAATTAACTAGGTACTAAAAATCTCTTGAGTATATCGTGGAAAACGTTGGCATAGAAACAAAATATGTCGATTTTGTTTTTTTTGTTTTTTACGTTTACAGCTGTTATCGCTGAGAACAATATCAACGCAAAACAGTTTCAAGGTGACCTGGCGGTCACACATACACACATTCTCTGTATTCCTAATCTTAAATTAACGAATGATTATTGTGATTGTGAATTATAATAGGTATAATATTTAAATTTTACCATTTGTATGAGCTTTTAATATATATATATTGTTTTATAAATCGCAGACGCGAATGGCCAGTTTTTATATTTTATATCACAGATTCTAAACGCCGAATACAACATTATTTTGTGTAACGAATACTTACGTTACAGTCATCGTTCGAAACATAGGAAATAAGGGAGTTTAGCAGTTAGGAATATTAAAAGCAGAAATGTATTGTAATACCTAGAGTAATATCAAGAGTAAAATAAAGGAATGTGCTGGTCACCGTGATAGGAGCAAACTGGCGATGAGCGGGAAAAATCTGGTGGTCATCCAAGTATTCACCTGGGAATATGGATGGATACGCTGAATATTGAACTTGAACAATTTGTACAATTATCGCGGACAAACGTTAGTGAGGAAAGATGTCAAGTACTAGTGGAAACTGAAAAGCGCCCCGTCTATAGACGCACATTCAGTCCAAAACTCAGGAGTGCTAAAATTATTTACGATACGGTATCATGGATGGGGTTGCCCTCCGCACCCCCTAACCTATTCGACATTTCAAAATAAAATTATATATTACTCGCACATTAAATGAACATAATAGAAATAATGAGAAACGATTTTCAATAATGAACCCTTTATTAAATAACCTAATAAATCACCAACAAGGGAAGGGCATACATCCTTAAAAATACGAGAACGATTAACATAAACTTACATAATAATATAATATATATAATATGGATAATATTAATTATTTACATATTAC